TAAATCTAAATAAACGTCTGGTTCTAAAGGAAGAGTCGATTCAATGATTTTTTTGATGGTCTCTTCTTTTTGTTTTTCTTGTCCTGATTTCGTTTGAATGACTCCATCGAGTGAGTCGTTGGCATCTCGCAATATTTTTCAATATTCAAGTCAAATGTTTTGTCGTAAAGGCTTTCATCAGTGATTTCTCGCAAGTCTTCTTCAGCCATGAGAACAGCGGCCGCTTTGTTGACAAAGACCTGGAGGGCCTCTTTGTGGTCCAACTCTCTCTCCAATTTCTCGAATGGACTCAAAACTCTGCCCACGATATCAATGGTAGGAGTCTTGCGGTTGTGGTCCGAGAAACTGGAGTTCGCGGTACTTGTTCTGGAGAAGCGCTCTATGATTGTTGAGACACTGGAACCGGTGTCATCTGATTCCGATTCTATAAACTGTTTTTGTTTTAAACAAATGCAAAATTGGGTTAAAAATATGAAACAAAAAATACATGAAATATGATTTGAATACCAGTCTGTCCTCATCGGCCAATAAATCTAAATAAACGTCTGGTTCTAAAGGAAGAGTCGATTCAATGATTTTTTTGATGGTCTCTTCTTTTTGTTTTTCTTGTCCTGATTTCGTTTGAATGACTCCATCGAGTGAGTCGTTGGCACCAATAAATCTAAATAAACGTCTGGTTCTAAAGGAAGAGTCGATTCAATGATTTTTTTGATGGTCTCTTCTTTTTGTTTTTCTTGTCCTGATTTCGTTTGAATGACTCCATCGAGTGAGTCGTTGGCATCAGCTTTGATAGCATCCGATTCAATGGCACAGACATTGATCTCGTTTTCTATTGATTGCACATTTGGTTGGTTTTGATCGATGAGCTTAGAGTTGGGGGGTTTAGGCGGCGGTACTTTGGGTCGTCGGGGCGGCAGTGGAGGCGGTTGTGATGTCTTCTTTCGCGGAGGCTTTTCCACTCCATCGCAATCGCTGTCACAACGTGTCTGACAATTATTAGCGCTCTTTCTTTTGGACGACAGGATAGTAGTGGCCATACGGGGCGGGACGGGTGGCGGCACTTTCTTCTGCCAACCGGCGCTCGCATTATCCTTTGAGAGCACATTATTAGCCGTTTCTGATTCATTGGAACCGGTATTAGCATTTGAATCAAGCGTTTTGTGTTGATTCAAATGCGAGGAATGCGTGGAATGAGGGGTACTGTCCCTTTGGACGTGTATTTTGATACAGACGGGCGCATCCCTCAGCAATCCGATGCACTCGAGTCTAGTCATGGTTGTCGTGGATCTGCCATCGATTTTCATGATTTGGTCGCCTTCTCGCAGGAACTCCAGGTGCTGTCCGCGCACTTTGGAGGCCGGGCTCTCGGTGTTGATGCTCTGTATAAACACTTTGTGTATCTTTTCGTTGGCATTCATCCCTCCCTCGAACTTAAGTGCCATTCCTTCACACATTGAATACATAATGAAAAATATTGATAACACAAGTGAATAAACAAATGATTACCCAATCGTTCTCCGGGTAAGCGATAGATCATAATTTGCTCGTCAATACACGTCTTGTTTGGATTCATGTCTTCACCCACTTGTAAGACTGTGACGAAGTCGTCGTCGAAGCCATTCTTGGGAACCGTCTCCTCGACCTGAACCACAGTCACGTGATTATAGTTGTTGGCAATGAACTCACCGAAAGTGTTGGGCAAAATACTGGTCCCGTTTGTGGCCATACCGGCCATCGCAACACTCTTTGACACTTCAACTCAAATGAATGTCAATTGAATAAATAATAATAACTTAATGTTTGCTGAAAATGTGAACTCATTTCCAATCGATGATGAGATAAATGTCCGAAACAATTGTTTTGGGGAACAATTGAAGCACTGGAGCACTGGTAGTGAATAGTAGTATTGGTTGCGCCGGTGGTGGTATTTGTTGGTCTCAATAGATTCACACCATTGCTTGCAATCAGTGAAGTATCAAATTAGAGAACAGTTCCGTCTCTCACTCTGAAGACATTAGGAATAGAAGAAAATATTGAGACAATTAAGACTTAATTAATGATTAGTTGATATGTAAGTGGAAGAAGTGGTAAGTGATAGGAAAGCAAACTTTTGTATACATGGAAAACAATACATTGTATAAGAACTGAGACTTGGGTTTTCATTAATGTTTAGTTTGGATTGAGAGTAGACTTCAATTGTTTGAGTCAATTGAGCGCAACCTTAGCTGTGAATGTAGTGAAGACCTCTCGGGCACTGTTCCCCTCTCTGGCCCTCTCTGTGCCTCATTTGCCACTCACTACAGCACTTCACTCTACTATCTATACTATGATAGAGATTGGATTCATTGAGAAATGTGTGCACAAGAGGTAGAGTAGTGTTGGAGACAGAGGCAGTGGAAGTGGTGGTAGAAGTGGTAGAGTGGCAGCAGGTCTCGTACGCCCTTTTCCATCAATTGATGGCCAATAACCTTAACTTTAAGATTATTTAGTTTGCAATCGAAGCGAAGAGAGAAACTATTTTCACAATACAGTAATCATAGCATAGTTTGACATTTGAAGCACTCATATATAGTTGAGTTTTGAGTGATTTTAAAATTGCATACAATCTCTCAATTGAGATACATTTAGAAACCATTCAAATGTTTGTAACACTGTTTGCAAATTACCAGACTATGGACTATAAGTACAATCAAACACTGTATCCAAACACTGCTGAACACCGATGAGATGAAGGCTTCAATTTGGAGTTTGTGGACAAGTATTTGAACCAAATTGTAATTGAGTGCAAAACAGTGCAAACTATGCAAAACACTGAACTATAAACTAAATCTAACAAAATCTATAGATTGTATGGAAACGTCATTTTTATTGCTATAAATTTTTTCTTAAGTCGAGTTTCAATACTTGTTAAACAGGTATGGAATGTGTGCTCTGAGAGTACTATGAAATACTCACCACTCGATAGGCACCACAAATATACCCAAACAGTTATCTCATATAATACTGATGAACACTTCCTTGAAACCAAGTTAGCCAACCCTATGCTGTGTCAACCGGACCGACCACTCCACTACTACTACCAGATACCACAACCACCACATCCATCACTATATCCATCACTATATCCATCACTACAACCATCACTTACACCATTTCCATTGCAAACACATTGCAAATCAATGCAAACTTAGCAAGGCTAGAATAACTAGAATAACTCACTGGAATATCTCACTCATACATTGCCAATCAATAGATATGATACTACAATACACTACAGTATACATTACTTGTAAGCTGTATGTCCCAAATGAGAGCTCTGGAAGCCCTGTCCAATGCGTAACCATAGCGCCCCACAAATAGCGGTATTCGGTGTGGAATGAGCTCTGGTATGACTTATGGTAGGGATATGTGAGACAATCATTTGTTGTGTTCACTCGAGTGTAACGTTTGTTGAGTTATTATATAATAGTTTGAAATAGTTTTGGTGTAAAAACCGGTATATCTTCTAGAGTTAAGCAAGTGTTTGGTGGACCAGCACTGGATCTATGATCCAAGTGCACCGACTGCCCCAACAAACATAGCTAACAAACTCATAGCCATTTTCAAGGGCTCTGTTCCAACAGAACTGGTATTTAATCGATTATTAAATCATTTAATTTTAATATTATTTCTTTTCTAATTATTGGATTCGTTATGAAATTAGCATTTTTTGCTCACAAGTCATGTCTGAATCATTCAAATCGAGCTCTCGTTTCATGAGAACAACACTTGACTTAAATACAACTTTAAATGCAAAACAAATTTATTTCATTTAAACTTACGGTTAACTCTTATATAAATTAAATATTCTCTTTTCAAGTCTAACACATAAGCTATACTTACTTTACTTCCAATAAAATAGTGCTTTCATTTAAATTCATTGTAGGAATTACTTGAGAGTAGATAGAGTACAGTTACAGTCATTCCCTACAATACAGTACTCTATTCAATGTATTTGAATAAAATATAACAATTGTTTTACGGCAAAAGAGTTTGAAAATGCAAAGTGTATTCATGTGTTCATTGGATTGAAAAATAAATTATATTATTATGAGCATTGAAACGATTGTAAATACATGTGTTAAATAGGATACCAATGGAGTGTATCCTAAGGCAATACAGGGTTTCGCCCGAAATAGAGTTTACTTAACGAATAAATTACTCACGAATTGATTCAATGAATTGTGCCGTAAATCTGAAGAACTTTTTTCAAAAGTCGAGTCAATAAGCATTCAAATGAAATGTAAACTGAATTATGTTTTATGTTTTAGTGACTTCGAGATAAAATTGTTTTATAATTTGAATAACTTTCAAATGCGTTACACAATAGGGTTAAGACTATAGTTAACCAAAAAAGTACACAAAACTTATATAACTACTATAACTGCCCACAAATATTCAACTTCTTGTTATATAAAGTGAATTGAAAATTGCATTTTAGTCTTTCATGTCTGTCTGAGTTTTCTCAGCCTTATAGACAACCAAATTACATATAATTTGTGTTTGATTTGAGAAAAAATGTTCAAATAAAGTGAAATTATTTTGTCTAACAATCGATTTAATGCTATGATTGCAGTATTATTCACATAAAGTCAATGATTTCAAAGTCAGACTCAATTGCGGAGCGAAACCAATTTCAATTAAAACATTACTTTTGATGCAACTTTTATTTATTAAATACAATAATAATCAACAAATCAATAGTTTTTATTAAAATAGAAATTGTTTTTTAACATGAGTTTAATAAACTAATCGCTAAATACATAACTCATTCTAAGCGTAAACACAATTGTTTTTGAAATACAAAAAAAAGTAATCATTTCTTTCAAATCAAGTGTTTATAAAAAATAAATTAAAATTTTAACGAACCCTTGATTTTGTTATTAATTTAAATACTTTATGAAAAGCAAAGAGAAAATTAAATATAAATCCAAATTTCACTGTAAGAGACAATTGAATGGTTAGAACTTCTTGAGGAACTCTTCAGCGGTGATTCTGGCCCTGGCGTTGATGGCGAGCTTCATCTCATTGATCTCTTTGTCAATCTCTTCCATGAAATGGATAATAAAGTCAATGATTTTGTATCTAAACATGGATTCGGTGTGAAAATTGGTGAAGTGATTCTGGCCCTGGCGTTGATGGCGAGCTTCATCTCATTGATCTCTTTGTCAATCTCTTCCATGAAATGGATAATAAAGTCAATGATTTTGTATCTAAACATGGATTCGGTGTGAAAATTGGTGATTAAGAAGGAGATGTCGAAACCGGTTTCGACGCCATTATTCATATCGGAGTTATTGTTGTTGTTGGCCATCAATGGCTTCCTCTGTGTGTCATAATTGGTGACCGCTTTGCGCCGAAGAATCACAAAACTGTCGGCTCTCATGGCCATAAACCGGGTGAACTTATGGCACAAAATCCTCTCGATATCATCGGCCTGTTTGATGCAAATGGAGATCCGCACAGAATTGATGGACGACTCGATCAGCACCCGCTCCCTCTCGTTACGGCTGATCACCACTGAGTTGAGGATCAGCTCTTTGCTGCTCTTCACCTCAATCTCCGGCTTGTTATGTCTCTCAACCACTTGCGAGTTGAAGTCCACCAGACATATGGCCGCCTCCAGAGTGCGGCGAACAGCCAGTAAGTATGGACGCAGTGTCGCCGCCATCACCACAGAGTGTCTGTCACTGTCACCACACGGATCCGATCCAATCACACGGATTGCTTCACACATGAGCAACACATTCATCATTAAAACACTACATCTAATACCATATATTTACCATTACTTACCAAATGAGAGATTGTCTTAAATATTGAGACAAACTTTCAACAGTTTGTGGCTTTAATTGACAATTAAATGAATTGTGAAGTGATTTACAGATATTTGTCACTAATATGTGTCCAAAACATACACTCCCTTCACATCCCATCCCATTTGCACTCCTCATACCTATCCATCAATTAAGTCTGTATTTTAACATTTTGAATATGTCTTCATTTAATAGATTAATCACTTTAAACTCAAAGTCCATTCACTATAATAATTGTCAATAAACTTATTTTTAATTCAAAATCAATGGATAGATTGTCAATTAAATCAATTATTATTTAAATCATAATTTGATAAAATATATTTGTGTTATATGGACCGGTATTTAGTACTATTTGATATTAAGTTTATATTGAGTGTTGTGTAAAATAGTGCCAAAAGTATAACGATAACGATTGCATTGTGTGTGTGAACCGCAAACAGAAACAAACTGTGCTTTGAATGTGAAGACAAACATGAATTGATCGGTGAATTGAGAGCACAATTAGTGAAGACATGGACTCATTGGACAGCAGAGTGAAGAGCGAAGACATGTCTGAGGGAGAGATCGCTGACTCGGACTCGGAGGAAGAGCCGGAGCGGCAGTTGTATTGCATTTGTCGGACTCCAGACACGAATCGGTTTATGATTGGATGCGACAAATGCGAGGAATGGTTTCACGGGAACTGCATTTCCATCACTCAGGAGTACGCCAAACGCATTCAACACTTCTATTGCCTCATGTGTCGCGACAAAGACCCCACTCTTCAGATCGTCTTCAAAGAGACCAAAAAGCAGCCCAAGAAGAGAGACCCGGAGTTCACTTCCGCGCAGACCTCCCGACACGTGGACACCGGTCCCAACGACACGGATGTGGTCCACAAGAACTACGAAAGAGATCCCGACTATAATCCGGAACAAAAGGCCGCCAAAAGATTTTCGGTGTCCGAAGAGGAGGAGGAAGAAGACGACGACTATTACGAGTCTTTGGTCGAAGAGAAGCGCATCAAAAGACACGGAACAGCAAACAGGCGAAGAGGCGGTCGTCGACCCGTCCGACCGGAAAAGGACGACAAGAAGGATAAAAGGGGTCGAAAGCCAAGCAGTCGTGGGGTTCGGTCGCGACATCGCAAGAAAGACGAGACCAACAAAAAGACACATAAGAAGAGCAAAGAGCATACGATAGAAGTGGAAACGGGTCCCAAACAGTGCTACGGACCCGGATGTGTGAACACCTCCCGCAAGGCCTCCAAGTATTGTAGTGATGAGTGCGGCGTCAAGTTAGCCACCAATCGGATCATCGAAATACTGCCGCATCGGATCAGACAATGGCAGAGCACTCCCTGTGCGGCTGATGACCGCTCGCATAAAGCACTGGAAGACATTCGTACCGAACAACAAGAGGCCCGAAGACTGCTCAACGAATTGGATCAGAAGCAGAAAGATCTGGAGCTTCTGATCACTCGCGGCAAAAGCACTGCTCCCATGACTGAAGAGGAATCAAATGAGGCCGACAATGAGGGCGAGACTGAACTCAGCATTTATTGCGTGTCTTGTGGTCACGAAATCAATCAAAGACTGGTAATTGCTTTCATTCATAAAAATGTGAATTTTGAAACTTTTATCAAAATATTAATTATTTGTTATCTTTTATTTTCATTCGTATTATCACTCCATTTGATGGCAAACAATAGGCTCTCAAACATATGGAGAGATGTTATAACAAATACGAGAGTCAAACCTCTTTTGGTTCTATATTTAAGACCAAAATAGAAGGACAGACCGTTTTCTGTGACTATTTCAATCAACTACAGGGAACTTATTGCAAACGGTATGTCCTTCAGTATTAAGGCTACAAGTTTTTAATAGTAAACTATACATGAAAATAGCATTCATTTTACAGCTTATTTGTGCATTTTTGTAACATTATGTCAGATTACCGTTCATAAGATATTTATGTGACAAATGTATTGTTTGTATTAAACATTTATTTGCTGTCATTGGCCTATAGTTTACGGCTTCTCTGTCCGGAGCACTCGAAAGACCCGAAAATAGCGGACGACGAGGTGTGCGGCGCTCCGTTGGCATCTGAGGGCTGTCCGTTCGAGCACTCCGGGCGCTTCTGTCGCGTGCTTAAGAAGAAATGCAATAAACATCACATGTGGGAGAAGTTAAGAAGGGCTGAGTTGGACGCCGAACGCATCCAACAGTGGCTTAAACTGGACGACCTCTTCGAGAGGGAACAGAAGATCAGGTACTGTATGGCCAATAGACACGGCATACTCGGCCTTATGTTGCATCAGACTATAGTACACGACGAGAGTGAGTCACAACCTCATTGACGCACTCTTTGGCATTCATATCCATATCATATGAATTCAATCAATTTATCACTACAACCAACACATGAAAGCAAATGTGGGCTCAAAAAGTCATCAATTATTAATATTTTTGTAAATATTATACTTTTTATTCATTTATTTTAAAAATAAGTAATATTGCAAACATTTGATTTTGATATTATAAAGCAGTATAAAAGTGAATTATAATAAAATATTAATAAAATAATTGATAAAAATATGATTAATGTTTGGATAAAGTAATAGACTTATATGTTATGGTATGATATGAATCATGAAATGAGATCGAGGTTTGAGCACGACTTGGAGTTTTTAGAACTACAGTAATTAGACAAACAGTTCATTAGATTATGTTTGCATTACAATGTAATATACAATACTGTATTGCAATCGATTGCATACCTGTTGAGCGCCACATCTGCTCGCCGACCAATATGTAGGACAACGTCTCCTCTTTTAATCCTTTTAAACATAGTTAACGCTTCCGAATGAGTCAACCCTTCAGTAGATTCGCCGTTAATACTGAATATTTGATCGCCTTTTGTATGAGAGAAGCCAACAATAAGCCACTATTTTATAGACTTTATAGCGTACAGAAGCATACCTTCAAATAGATTGGCGAACTGTGCTGCCTGTCCGGTCGGGTATATTGTTTTAACAAATATTCCCATTTGACCTTTTGGTGAGTCAATACCCCCTACAATACTGAATCCCAAGCCCTTACTGTCGGGTCCTTTTTGGTAGACAATAGTCCGAAGTCCTAAAGAGGTGTCAGCCTTAGGCTTACGGGGAAGGGTCCAAAGGCCGCAGTTATTGCCGGAGCTGTTCAACTGATTGATCAAATAAATTACTTTTCATTCATCGATTTAATTGTTTGCTAAATGAGTTCAATTCTATACTACCGTACAATACAATAAAAACTTATTTATTTTCATATCAAAAAACAAATCTTACGTTTGGATTGAGTTGAATATTGTCGATTGAATTGGGAGTAGAAATGGGTCGACAGCTTCGGTTGAGAGTCAATCGCGATAGAGTCGACAGCTTTTGTTGAGTTTGGGTCGGCGTTTGGCGAGCATTTGAATACAAATTGCTTTGTTTGCAGTTCTCATTCATCTCTGGCTTTGAATCACTTATTAACCCATTGGTTTTGGGGGTCTTAGTAGACGAGTTGCTGAAACTCTTGGAGTTTGACAAACATTTTCTCCTTTGATTCAAAAGCCATTGAAAGGCACCGAAAGATTTCTTATCGGATGAGAACTTTGTATAAAACTTTGATTTCGGCACTTTTGTCCCATTACTGTCGTTATTGTTATTATTATTCATATTATTATTATTGTTATTGATAGTAATATTGTTATTATTATTAACATTAATGTTATTGTTATTATGGATAATATTATTGATATTTGACTCGTTGTTCATATGAATGTCAACGTGTGATGACTTGGTTGTCATTTGAGGACTAAATACTTCGCTCTAAATTAGCAGTTGTATTGAAGTGCAAACAAATCGATTAGCATTTTGTAGGCTATCAATAGACCAGAAATTATGAGACAATTATTACCGGTTTTTGCTTAGCAATTATGATTTGCACCACTCTATCACTACATCTTAAATGTCTCAACGCGTCCTCCAACTGAAGACCTCTCAATACTATGCCATTGATGGCCAATACCTCATCGTCTTTGTCGATCACTTTGGCCCTTAAATATCATTGCAATTCATTACTCGTTTCATATTCACCACAAAATCAATGAAAATTTTGTTTCAATCAATGAAATATAAAATTCAATAAAATATTCAATGTATAGACAAAATGAAAAGTTTAGTTAAAGTTTGGTTAAAAATAAAAATAACCATTATTTAAATGTTGGTTTTAAAAAAGTATTACTATATCTGCATAAAATAAGGCATAAATATTTGAATAATAAAGTATTCAATTCATAGGAAAGTTATGTTAATGTGAATGGTTTTGCGAGAAATTTAAATACAATAGAGAGTGAAAAAGAAACATATTTATGGGTCAAGACTTTATCGTTATATTCTTTGTGTTATAATGTTTGCAGTATTTAATACAACAAAATCAATTAATTATATACTTTTGAATGAAATAATGAATTTTAAATTAAATACCTTTAAAGATAGGAAATAATAATTTGGGAAAAATTCAACTAAAAACTAATGTTAAATGTTATCAAAACTATTGGTTTTTTGAAGTAAATTTAGAAATTAAACTTTTTTTGATGGGTTAGAGAAATGAGAGACAATTATCTGGTTTCTAAAAGCATGACATCCACACAGGTCTTAGGCTTTTAATGGTTCCCAAGATTTTAATCAAATTTAATGCCATAATATATTTATATGAAAGAAAATGTCACTAATTATTAAATACATTAAATAAATAGAAAAACTAATAAAAATAAATCACTTCTGAATTTTTAATTAATTTTAATGATAACAACAATTCAAATCTCAATGAAAGTCAATGGAAAACACTTTCCACTCAAAACCAGTTATTATATCTGATTATAAAAAAGTTTTCAAGTGGTGTTTAATTTTAGTAACAATCATATGAACTGAAACCAAATGCCCGATAAGTCTTAACATGTATTTCACATCAATTCAACTTATTTTATGCACAAAACTATTTAATAATTTTGTAATTCAAAATGTATTCAGTTATGTTTGCAAGCAATATTACTGTTAACAATAGCAAGGCATATGATTTTTATAATAGCATGGCATTACAATTACTGTAACATAAGTTTATATGAAATGTCAAACTATTTGTGAATTAATAAAATGCACAAAAATAGCACTGAAAATCTGCACAAAACTGAATGAAAAGTATTGCATAGAAACGGTAGATATTTTAGATGTATTGACAGCAGGGTCTGGTAGTCATGAATGGTGTTAAGATAGGATTAAGATGGGAATGGGAGGGAATGGGTGGCAATGCCTACCTGTGCGCGGGTCCATTGGTCTCGAGGTCTGCGACCACATACGTCAAGTAGCCATTGATGTCCACTTTGCCGGTGATATAGATGCCGAGCTCACCCGACTGGTCCTTCTCCAGAGTCACCGTCCGATACATACCATCCCTTGACATGACTGGCCCTCACATCCGAGTCCACACTTCACACACTACGAATCATTACTTATGGCAACAGTTTTTGGCGTTAAATGCCTTTTAAGTGATTATAAGGAAATCATTTGTTTATTAGTGTTAAGCGATTGATATGAATCTCATTCAATGAATGCAATGAAAGTGCAGTCAATGTATGAAATGTAAGAAAGTTTGTGCCGTTTGTGCACTCAATACAAACAAAGCCATACATACAGTGTATCACATGTCATGACGTCAGTCATTACATCCTTTTAAAAACTTTTAATCATTTTATTCACTCTAAACGTTACGTTCATTTCAATTAATTCATTACATCATTAATTATATCACATATTGATTGTTATAACTATTATTAATTATTTAACATGTTATGCATAGAATAGCATGCAGTCTAAATATACACAAAACAGATGTTGACATTGGTTTTATTAGTTTGTTGTTCAAAACAGAATTTAGTCATCATTTAAATGTTCCCAGGATATATCCTGGATAATATTAAGTTCTAATGTATAAGTAAAAACAACACTTTCATAGCTAATTAATAACATTAGCATAAGTTATGTTAGTTTTTGATTCTCGAAAATTAAGTTATTTATGATAACAAAAACATTGTTTTGAAAAGTTTTATATTGTTTAGAGCTTTTTATTTATAAAATAGCATAACACCTACACTTTCATTAAACAGTACTTTGTAAGTTGTACTTTACTTTTTGAAAGTATCACACAGCAAATCATATAGGTAGATGTTTGACAGATAGTTTTGCATTTGCCATTTCCAATTTGGAAATACGATATTTGTATTCAAATTGTTTAATTAAATGCAGCATTATTTAATATATAAAAATTTATTCAAATATATGCACACTTTATTGAGATGTATCTACATCTTATGCCAATTATTTACTTCAAACTTTATTTACAAAATAGTTTGTTTGTTTTTAAGTATTTGTTACAATTTTCCACTATTAAATTGACAATTAAAATAAGTTTTTAAACATTAATTAAATGATAATTTGGGTTAAATTGAACAAAACTTGTGGTTAGAGTGGAGGCAATTCACAAATAGCGTGACACGTGTTGTGAGTGCTGTGATTGGTTGACATAACGATAACATTACGGCAATCATAGTATGGAAGGCATTGAATGCAAGCAATGCTTTGATTGGAAAATAATCTAATCTTTCATTAATTGCTATTATTATTACACTTATGATTACCATTCAGGCGATCATCACCACAAACAAGTCACTCATCTGCTTGTGTCACATCCATTACCACTGATTACCGAAGACAATGGTCTGACGTTTGACGACCGCAATGAAGAGGTCCACCAAAGGATCGTCTAATACACGACTCATCAGGTCTGAAGACATTTCATTTGATTCATTCACTCATTGTCTCAATACTAGCCATACTTATGATGATATTATCATGAATTTGATTGATTCATGTATGAATTGATTCACGAGTTACCATTGAGTCCAATGTGTAGCATATGATGTATGGGTGAGTGAACTTGACTAACGGTGATGTGTTTGTGTGTCTGTGGACAGGGAGGTGATAGAGTTGGCCAAAGAGTTGGAGTCCGGCATAACATCCGCCAAATCGTTGAAATATGTGTTGACTGAGAGTGTGGTGAAGAGCAGAGACCGGCTGAAAGAGGTCTGCGAAGACATCCTCTACTCGTCGCCCATAGAATTCGGACGAAAGGCTGAAGACTTTCTGTGGAAACGATGTTTTCACGACTTAATGCAGTTTTACAAACGAAACAAAAAGGTTTTCAGTGATCATAAGCGGCGGTAATGTCTTGTAAAGTACTAAAACACCAATTGTTTGCTTGTGTTTAGCGAATGACATCTTCGGAGATATCTTTACTGCAAATCCATTTGACGACTGGGTTTGGGCTCTACTATAGTCTCCTTTTAGGCGTTTCGAAGCACTACTCCATTAACATCCAAAACCTGATGCCATATATAACTGTCGAACAAAGTATTGAAGAGTTTTGTCGCGAAAGTCAACCGAATAACGAGGAAGTGGACGCTTGGGCCAGGAATGCTATCCATAGGATACTCATCTGTATGGGAGACTTAGCCCGTTATCTCTTTGACCTGGAAGTGATTGGCTACCGAGAGCTGGCCATCAGATTCTATGATTTGGCTCTCATCTGGAACCCCGACATTGGAATGCCTTTCAATCAATTGGGAACTCTATCCGAGTCTAATAACTATGGTTTGGATTCAGTTTACTATTATATGCGATGGTATGTAGTGTCGAGTACTCGTATTGCTATCGCAGATACTGTTTACATACCTCTCATGTATTTAATATGGTTTTCTTGTCATTTAGTCTGACGTGTGATAAGCCCTTCGAAGGCGCAGAGAATAATTTGAGACGAGTTTTTGAAACCAATGAAAAGCGATTGAATGAAATTGAAGACAAACAGTCCTCCGAAGAGAGTTACCGTATGATTGAGCGCTCGATTCTGCTTTTCCTCAAGTTATGCAATGAGTATTGGTTTATAAAGTCATCGGACAATCAGTTCAACAAACATATTCTCCCACTTCTGCAACAAACTCTTCAGTCGTTGAACACGTCCTTCAATTTGCAGCCAAAGCTTACCACCGAACAAATGCCTACTTTTATGACTCCGATGACCACATTCGAGATGTCTGTCATTACACTGATTCTTGTGAACCGTATCCAAGAACTAGAAGATCGCAAGAACTCGGCTAATGGCAGCCAAATGTTTCCACTGATTTTAAACTTTTCCATCAATTATCTCATGGCTGTTGTGGCTTCAAGTCATCAAAGTGTGAAAAATAAGTTAGGCTTAGATCCGTTCAAATTGAATGGTCTGTCGTCTATGAGTCCCGGAGTGTCCAAAGAGAATACACCGGATCTGTCGCCGCGTCGGGCGCTATCAAGACTGCGAAGACGTAAGGCTGCCATCAATTATGACGACAAGAATGTGTTGAGTTTGGACGACGACGACTCCGAACTCAGCGAATTAGAGGAAACCGCTTTGAGTACAATCGATGCGCTCGAGATTGGATCAGATTTGAGTGATTCTAATGAAGGCAGCGATTCATACAATTTGGACGTCACTATCATCAGTAGTGATGAAGAGACTCCTTTGCCGCACAGAACTGTTGGACCCAAACATTCAGACACTCCCGTAATGCCTGTCGAAGACGTACTCAACTATGTCTTGAATGACAGTTATTTGCCCACAATTAAGATGTACTGCGATTGGTTTCGATCCAATCCCAACATACTGTCCCTCATTTCAAATCAGCTCCAACTCTGGTTCGAAGAGTTTATCAATTTTGTCAACTCTTTGCTGAATATCGAGCATAAAATTCTGCAATCGTTTCCAAATTTGTCTGAATTTAAGTGCTATGGAGTCAATTGGCACCAGAAGTTTCCATTGGCTTCGGATCTAAGCCTTTCAAACATAGAATGTCTGAAGAGTTCCTTTAATGCCATTTCCTTTGAAAGTCAGAGAGTACTCAACAATTGCGAGAAAGGCTTTCTCTGTATTGAATCCATTATAGCATTCACTCATTTTGTCAGTGATTCTGACTATTGTCCAAATGTTTACGGAATTAGTTATGACTCGATTGAGAATCGCTTCTCATATAATAGTCACTCGAATGGAACCAATTTTAATTACTTCCCCACAAATACCTGGTCTGAAGACAACTCCATATTTGTTTCATCGAATCCGCAGTCGATTAATGATATTGAAGACAATGAATCGGTTGACGATTCCAAACGACAGAAGAAATTTATGCGAAATATGGCTCATCTTTGGCTTACAGTAGGTTTCAGTGAATCCCTAATACCGTAAATATGTTAACATTGCATTCATTTTAGGCTGAAGTGAATCAATTGGAAAAAGATGTGAGTTTTGCGCCTCAATTGCCTCCTTATATGGTATTGGATTCGAGCGCTTACTGTCAACACTTGGACTTTATTAAAGAGTTGACTCATTCCAAGAGATTCATTATAGTTGTGCCCAAAATTGGTATTTAATCCCAATCTTTGATTTCAATGATAAACAGATTGTGTTTTTGTCTCAGTTTTGGCGTCTTTGGACCAAATGAAGAAAACCAACGCAACCGCGAGAGAAGCCATTCGTTGGCTCGAAGAACAGCTACAGCGCGGGAATCGAGTGATAAAGTTTGCGAAAGACGCGGAGAAATTGAATTTATCGCCCATTAAATACCCGAAACGCAAAGACAGAGAGGCTTTCGATTACTACGAATTGCTTGAATATTGCAATTATTTGAACACAAACACCAAAACTGACCGAAAATTAATTTACGGAATGCCAATGGTTTCCCTTTTGACACATTCTTTCGATAGATGGCCAGCAAATGCTGAAGCAGTGGCCAAGACTTCTGGTTAGTAGTGATGCAATGGTATGGTATTACCGGTAATAGCGTTGCTTACGATTGTATCTAATTTCAGGAATTCATATCGAAAGTGTGAACTCTTTTGTGACCAAATGGCAGAACTCAGTCAAAGCTATTACCTGAAGTGAACAGAAGGCTATTATAACTGGATTTCAAAATTTACCGAATGATCGCAGTCAGGTTTACGAGTGGTTCGGCTTTTACCAGTTAATTGTGGTGAAAGTAATCACTAAAACGATTGCACCAAACAATGAATTCATTCAAAAGTTAATTGCAGATAAAGATCAACCAATAAATGGCAAAACTCATTGGTATAGTAGACAAAACACGTTTTGTCGAAAACAGACAACTTCTAAATCTTATTATATTTTCACATTTGTGTTAATTTTACTGTAAGTCTTTGGCTCTTCTGTTAATTCATTGGTTTAAGAATTGAATAAAATATAAATACAATTTTCGGATAAATATGACAATTGAATCGATAAACAGATCGTCAAACGACTTGATCGGACATAACTTAAGGCTCTATCTCTTCTTTAATCAAATGTATTGAAACGCTTTCTCTTACGACAAAGATTTGCACTTAATATCGATATTAACGAGATTTTAACGCAGAAAACACCAATTTTTTAAGAGATATTTTAAACAAATATTCAATCGATAAAAGAGTTTAGAAAATCATATTTTGATGAATCGCTGGTCAGATACGATGAACACATCGGTTAAGATAATTATAGAAAACTTTATTTCCAGTTTTTACTCACATTTTGGGCTAACATTCCTAATGTTTTAGTTTTCATATTATTATAAAATTAAAGTTTTTTATTCACTAAAATGTTGGGGTTTTCGCAGTTAATGACACATTCACTTTACTTTTTTGATAAGTGTTTTGATAAGTTTTTAAATTACTTTAATAGAAACACATTTGAAATACCGGTATATATTCACTCAATAATTGTTTTTATTACTTTATTGGAAAACTTTGTTTTTTATTCATTTTGATAGCAAAATATGAATCATTGGTTTGTCGTTAAAAAGAATATTTTTATTCTTTTGATGACTTGTTTTGAGAAGAATCCGAGAAAATGTGACATATTTTGCGAAATAATATTTATTAAATAAAAATTTGTTATAAACTCAGAACCCATTTGATTAATAGCTGTAATTTAGTGATTGAATACTTTATATAAATATATAATTGAGTTTGAGTTGAGCTCTAATTTATTGTAAACTTGTTTTGCGGAATATTTGCATGAATTTTGATTTTATATTCACTGTTGTTGTTGTTTGGCATGAGTTTGATGTTGTAGTGAATGTATTACTGAAATGTTGAGCGTTTAGTGTTGAATGTGTTGAATATGTTGAATGTGTTTTTGGTTCGGAAATTGAGGTGAAATGGATAGAAAATAAGCAAAAACTTTGCGATCATTTTTCATTCTCTCTCATTGATTAAAACTCAATGTTTTTTATGGTTTGGAATATAAATAAAGTAAAAGAAAACAAAAATAGTGAACAAGAAAAAGAGAGTTTGTCTCAAATGATAAGAGTTTGCAAATAAAACAAAATATGAATAACTTATTTGAAGAGAAAACTAATTAGATATGAGAACAAGTTTTGTTGTATTTATCATTTATATTACTTTATTATTATAATTAGTTCATTCATGTATTTCCTATCGATTGTATATTATATTCATTTAAACATTTTTTATCTCTTTTTCAAATCAATTAATAATAATAAGTGAGAAAATTTGAAAATTGCATTAAAAACATTAATTTTATTATTGATTGATTGAAAACATATAATTATAATAATTTTTGTCTGATTTGCTAACAAAATGGGAAACCATTGAGAATGTATTGAATGTATTACGAAATATTGCCATAATTATTGTGTTCAATTCATTTCAATTAACTATAAGTTATATACAGTATTAATAAGTTTTGCAAATACTTATATCAATAGAGGTTTGCATTAATTTTCAATTTACTGTTAAATCAATGTTTGAATGGGTTTAACATTTTTACACATTTCTCCTGACGTTTGCAATTATTTAGCCTTAAAATGCATTTATATGTCATAATTGAGGCTTTCTTTGAGAGAAGTCAGCCTCCAATTGCTGGTAGGAGTAGGGGTCATATGGGTTGTATGTATTCTGTCGGTGCCATTGGTTTCCTTGACTACTGTCTAGTTCTTAATGCTTAATGCACTGGAGGTTTGGGTGAGAGAGAGAGAGAGAGAGAGAGAGAGAGACAGACAGAGACAGAGATAGAGAGAGATATAATAAGTTTCACTCACTTTTATCTCTTAACAAACACTTCCAACCCATCCATTGCCCAAAAGCAGTGATGCAGTGATGCGAATGCAATGCAATCCTCACATAATCGAAGCCAACTGTGCTCTCAGTCTTGTGTTGAGTCTGTTTCCCAAATGTTGGGAACAGTTGTGAAGCACTTCTAATGGGATTAGTGTCGGCCTCACAACAGCCATAACAGCACAACAGCCCTCATCTCATGTCTCAGATCCCAAGAATTAGTGCAAATTGTTTCACGCATTACATCACATCAGACGATCGCAAATAAATTAAAATCTAATCATTAATACATTATTCCTAAGTCTCTGTCTATTCAACAATACATACCTTTATTTCAAATTCAAGGCTTACTAATAGAGATGGATTAGACCTATCACTGCATACACAACATCACAACTTTCCCTCTTTTTCATTACAATCGGCTCTCTCTCTCTCTCTCTCTCTCGTCGCTCACTCTCTCCCTCAGAACACTTTTGTCATCATTTTTTGCAAACTACATAAGCGATGCTCTATTGGTCTGAAAGTTAACTTACATTACATTATAAGTACATTAGTGTATAAAAGAGAAAGAAATGACAAAAAATCTCTTATTTTGCGATAACCACTAAAACTACACCAAAAGGCGATCACTCGTTGATAGAGAACACAATAGAGAAGACCTCAATCACTACTTCTCTCTCTCTCTCTCTCTCTCTCCCTCCCTCTCCCTCTCCCATACCTCCCATCCCTCTGCCATATCTGACACTCACAACTAATTTCGTATTAGCCGGGAATGGGGGCTCTTTTCACTCATCTCTATAACGTGTACTTCTTTTGGTGTGCTTTTCTCAAACACTACCACAAACTGCATTCCAGTCCTCATATATTACAAACTGAACACATATGACAATAGAGAGGACCATTAAATGGTATGAATGGCAGCCATACATGTCTTTTGGTCGTTATATCACTACTCTCTCTCTCTCTCTCTCTCTCTCTCTCTCTCTCTCTCTCTCTTCATATTAATGCTGTTATAGATGTGGATGTTTTTTGCTTTAAAAGAAAGAGAAGTTTTGGAGTTACAGTATATTCTGTAAAATTATCAATATTTAGAGTTTTTATTAAAAAAGGAAATGTTTTACCTTTTATAAGGAGATATACTTTCATACAATTGATGAGTTATAAGAAATATCTTACAAATAAAAGATATAGATTAGGAGAATAAAGGATGTGCACTGAACTTCCCTCAAGGATCTCTCTCTCTCTCTCTCTCTCTCTCTCTCTCACTCACTCACTCACTCACTCACTCATAGAAAAAGAGAGTGATTGCAATTTGGTATTTAGTCGACTATAGCTAACTGGGCTGTAATTCACATTTGGTTGAAAGTGGTGGACAGACAGTGCGAGGGAACGGTTCACTGCATTCCAGTCCTCATATATTACAAACTGAACACATATGACAATAGAGAGGACCATTAAATGGTATGAATGGCAGCCATACATGTCTTTTGGTCGTTATATCACTACTCTATTGAAGTATTATTTGCTGTAATTATGTTGACTCGAGTCTGGAGTCACGCGAAATCATATTTTTAATTATTAACTCTTATGTTATGTACTATTCATTAGAATGCAGTGAAAGCCGTATGGGAAGGGAGGCTCTGATCCTATTGTGAATTCAGTGAACGAATATTTTTTGATAGTTTAAAAATGTTGATAACATTTGTGACATTACTATCATTACTATTCTTATGACACAACTGTTTGACTAAATCGTTACCAAACTTCTGGTATTCCAGTCATAGCTCTGGTATTCCTTATTATGCTTTCCATTCGCATCCTCTGCAACACATCCCAGACTTGAGCTCTATCTGAGCCATGCCTACGATGCCTACAGTGCTGTGCATACCATAGCATACCATACCATACAATGCATACATACTTTACTTTATTATATATTTATAAACATAAAGAACACATCCATCGGATCCATTGGACAGGACGTGCAAAAAGTGCACAATTGGTTGTCTGTTTCACAACCAAAAAAAGTTTGTTTGCTATCAACTCATGTCCTCCTAAAGAATATTTAATTGCTCTCAAAATTGACAATATATACACATACAGAGCACCGGTATGCCAACACACTGTGGCATCCCTGACAGCGCTGATCCCTATCGCGTACTCATCATAATTCGTGACCATATAATGGGCAGACAGTGTGTTAGTGCAACACAAGCCTCATCTCACATCTACTTCTTACTTCTTTGTGCTCTCTCTCTCTCTCTCTCTCTCTCTCTTTCCCTCCCTCCCTCTCCCTTACCTCCCATACCTCCCATCCCTCTGCCATATCTGACACTCACAACTAATTTCGTATTAGCCGGGAATGGGGGCTCTTTTCACTCATCTCTATAACGTGTACTTCTTTTGGTGTGCTTTTCTCAAACACTACCACATTGTGACTGTCGACTGCCGGCCCCCTCACAGCTCTCATGGTATATGATTGACTGGAATGACTGCCAGCGCCGAACTCTCCCCTCTCAGACCCTTGCAGTCCCTCTCAGTGTGTGTTTATTTTGATTACTTATTACCAGAGCTTTATAGCAAAAGAGGTTTTTATAACAAGCGATGCATTCATTGTAAAGATGTTTAGAACCGATAGTTTGAGTAGACTTTTGCCAAATGAGTGGTTGAGTCGAGTCTCACATCCATTGCATGTCTTATAATGAGCCTCAGGCTAGAGATTCACAGCACCTATACTTTCAGTGTCTTTCCATACCTTAGGCTTATAGAGTATTAGAGAATGTAATGCATTTCAATACTGTATATATTTATTGACAAAATCTTTACTTTTTTCTCTCACTTTTCACTTACAGACAAATAATCATAACTTTATATCGAATTTATTAATATATTTCTCAAACAAATGAAAATATTTGCAAATACTGTATAATATATGATATGCAATACAAGTGTATATAATAGACTATAATACCACTCATTACTGTCCCCAACAAAACCGATCAATACTTTCATTAACTATACAAACGAGTCAATTGTTATGTCTATTCAGCACAAGTTTGTCAAATGTTTTCAATCAAAATAATAATTATAATTGAATTTTTCGTAAAACAAACAAAAAACGGCTAAAAATCCCGAAACACATGTCCTCTCACTTAACGTCTAACAACACATATGTATTGAACGGACAAATGGACACAAAATAACCCAAAGTTTTTTGGGTATTTGTGTGGATCAGAGGGCGGGGGTATGGCTCGGAGTCGAGTGTTTGGGTGTTGTGGTGGTGGTGTGGGTCGTGGTGTCGGTGCTATGGATGATGAGGTCATACCTCTAAATGTTGTTCACATTTTGGATGCGAACTAAGAATCTCTGATAAAAAGCCCTTTCGTTGGATTGACTGAACACACAGTCTATGCATAGAGTGTTATGTTATATACGTTGGGATCATATTATTAGAGCCCAAAGCATAGCACTCACACTAATCTTCACTCCATTCCTCCCTTTCCTCCCATTCCCGTCCCCTCTCTCGCTCCCCTCCAGTGCCGCCGACATTCACTATCCGTATACTTACAAAGCAAAACACATGCAATTACTGAGACTCACCAAACGGCCGCCCACTCCCACCTCAGGTGCCGCCCACCCACTCAGCCTCACCAGTGCTGGGCTCACGTGCGGCATAACGTGACTCTCGTGTGGCAGCCAATGGCAGCGCATGACTCGCACCCATCAAAGTCAGCCACAATTGTGAGGGTCTGTGGCTCTGTGTCTCTCTCTATGCTCTCACTCACTGTACGTATAGTCTGTCTGTCAGTATGTTATGCAGTGCTGTCTCAGTGTTCACTACAATCACACACTAAGACATTAAGACGTCCACACATTTGGCCACCGATTCACTCACGAGTCCACCTCTTCGGCCATTCGGCATATGATGTGTTGTGTTGTGTTGTGTCCGACGGATCCCTCTCTCCATTGAATCAGTTGTGACCGTCAAGTGTGTGAAAATTTTGTGCCATTTTTTGGATCAATTTTTGGGACTAAATCTGACTAAAGAGTGAAACAATGTATAACTCACGACATCCGGTATGTTATCCCTATATATATGAATGTCTGGACTGCCTGTCAATGCCTTACATATAATAGTGTCTAAGTTTGGGTGCATTTGATTCACTCTACCATTCATTTGATGATTACTGCAATAATTGGTTGAGTTTTACCATCAAATGAACCAAAGAGTCGATAGATGGCGCCAAAGCCGACACACAGTAGTCCCTCAATGTGTCCGCACTTTCACTCATAAGCCATACATTGATATGATATGTGGTTATCATTAGAGACCGGCTCTCGACCGGCCATACCATCCCTCCTACCACTCAATGAATGGATATTTTAATTGATTTTATTGTTTATATAATTACAATGAATGCATAGTTAAGGGCACTTCCTCTCGAGTATACCACAAGAAGTTGGGATCAAATATGTGAAGAGGTGGCACAGGTAGACATCTGGTCACCCGAACCCTATGAACCTACACTTTATTCACTGAATCACGACTCGAGTTATATTCAAATGAATCAATTATTCAGTATTTATGTCTTTTACCAGTTTCTATAGTAATAGGCATTCAAACAAGTCTTAAGTATTTAACAATATTTCTTAATTTGCGATTAATTGAGTGAAACAATAGTTTATATATTCAATTAAAACCATAACTAATAGTTAAACAAAAAATTATTTCGCCAAATATAATAATAATAGTTTTCACAGTTTGAGTGTTTGTTTGAGAAGTAATTGATTTTGTTTTTTATTCAAAACTATCAAACATTTGAGTGTTTGTGTTGTTTAATAGGAATTAAGAGTCGATATTAGGATTAGATTTGAGTCAATCATTACTTTGAAAAGTATATCATTAAAGGCAATGAATTGTGAACTCATTTGAGATATTT